AAAAATCTACAAGCATTACATAAAGTGGACAAAATAGGAGAAAAACGTAGAAATGATACGTAAAAAAAAAATAAAAAACTAGGTATTGCTTCCCGCCACGAAAAATGGCGCCGATTCCCATGGAGCAGTGCGGGCCTTTACCACTGGATACATTAGTAACATACCCGCTGCAAAACGACGGGAAAGAGCGTACACTACTAACTTGGTGAACGCTCAAAATTGTAAAACTCAAATTTGAGTATTTTGGGAACACCATCTAGGATTGGATTGGTTCAAAAAACGATTCAACTTGGAACTCAATTTATAGCTGTTGCTTTAAAAGGTTGACATTCTATGAGGATTCGGCAACTAGGCATAACACAAACGGATCAAGGAGATGCTTTCCTACCGACGGGAAGAGGATCGCTTTTGCGAATACCTATAACTTTTTATGAGCGCCAAACTAAGTGGAAAGATTTTGCCGGCGCTAGACAACACTCATTCTAAAATTCAACTCATTCTATTCACGAATTCATAAAAATTGGTTTGTCGATGAGAGAGGGCTCGGTTGGGCGGGAAATGCGGCGTGATCTCCATTGGCGGATCTAGCAATTTGGCAATACCGGATTTCCTTAATTTAAACCTATGGAAATGTATCGATTCTTGTCGGAGCACTTGGCTCCTCCAAGAATCGATTATTTAGCATAGGTTTACATGGAAGAAATTCGGTGTTGCCAAATTGCTGGATCTGCCTCTGATGATCTCGGTCCTATGTGCGCGTGAGATGCCTCGCACAAAAATTTGTCCAAAATAAACGTGGCATATTCCACAAAAAAGACGCTACCGCAAAAATGCAGATTGGAAATAGAAATCCTATCATCGGAGAAACGATGTTTCCTCGACAAAATTTTGCCAAAGGATAGGAAACGCCGAACAAAATTATGAGGAAAGGTCCAAACAATCGATTCATGTTTATGGTAACTTCTGTGCACTACAATACAGGATGACTCGTTAACTCAGTAGAGTCTGCAAGAAATAAAACAGACATTTATTTATCTTCTCGGAATTGACTTTCAAGCTGGTCTGTGGGCAGATCGCCGGGCGTAACTCAGCGTTTTTGTCTGGAGACTCGGTTAGTCTGTTTTTGTCTCGTTCCGTGGCGCCACGACCCACCAAATAATGTGTCGTAGACTGGAACGATTTTATCGTGTGGCGCCGCAAACTAATGTGGAGCGAAATGTAATCTATTCCTCAAGGACGAACCAAACTGCTTCACAAAGTAAAACCGAGAATCCTGTACAGAGCTCATCTATCATGCTAAGGAAAAACGCTATATGAACCATTAAGCGTTGTCAATTTTCCTTTGATAAGACACAAATTCCCTTGTGAACTTATGAATATTTTCCTTCCGATTTTTCAGATAATTTTGTTTGCAATTTCACCTGAAGTTCCTGAAAACTTTAAGGGAAAACACTCATAACTTTCCTCGAAAATAAACATTTATCGAAGGGAATTTGACAACTCTCGAATTTTTATACGGCGTTTTTCTTTAGTACGGCAACATAAGAGCCTTCAGATATTGCCATATTTCCTTCAATACCAAACGAATTCACTGAGAAAATTGAGAATATTTGTCTCCGAATTTTTCGGACTATTTTGTTCAAAATTTAATCGAAAATATCTGAAAATTTCAAGGCAAAATTTGCATAAACTTCGTCAAAAATACATCATATCCCGGGAAATTCGGCAACTTTCCAATGCTCATACGGCGTTCTTCCTCAGCGCGGCAGTGATGTGTGTTTCCGAACCCGTACTCGTACTGTTTTTTTCCAAACAGTGTGAAAGTTCATTTTGGAAGTCAACGCTCAGATTCGCGTGATGTTGACAGAGTGAGTTTAACAACTGGTTTTAGCAAATCCTAACTTAATTCGCAAAAATTCGCCTAGAGAAGTGTCTACTACGCATTCGTTAGTGATCATCGTGCGGGTTCAGTCGCAAGTTTTGACATGACCGTTTAATTTACACTCTTGTTAAATGGTCACTCGCGGCATACACGTAGCTGTTTTCTCGCGAGCATACGGCGGATCTCATTATGTCGGGTCAGTTTTCCGAATTACCCAAATACTCGGAACGAAAAGTGACCGAATCAATTATATTTCTTCTCTTGCAAATGAAAACAGCATAGCGAGTAAATATTGTTCCCCGCAAATGAGGATATTCGGTGGGCTAATTTGTTTTGGTGATCAATGTTGTGGCAGCGGAGCGCTGGAAAAAAGCACATAGGATCTAGAGTCCAGACTCTTGAAAACGTTGACAAGAAAAAATACTCTTGATTCAATCAGATTTTTGCTTAAATCAAAAGGAAATCCGCTCAAATTAAGAGGCTTGGTTCTTGATTTAAACAGAAATCCGATTGAATCAAGAGTTTTTTTTTCCAGTGAAAGAACCATTCTGATAAATTGACTTATTTAACTGATGGCCGTGAGGAGTTTGGCTGGAATATTTCTCGATTGAAATTGACCTGAGAGTCAATTCGTTGAATCATCATCAGAAGTAAAAAAACATCGGCACATTGAAGAAAAAAAATTAAATTACTGAATTTTTTAATCATCTTGAGATTTTGGCAATTCACGGATTGATTCCACATTTCCGCTGATTATTACCGAATTATTCGTTTTGTAAACCCTGAACAAATATGAAATAGTACAAATTTGGAATGTTGCATTCGAATAGTTAAATTGAATGGTTTTTCTATGTTTTTGCATACTTTCAGCTTTGATTCAGGTTTTGTAAATGAAATTTTTGAGGAATAAACAGCAGGAATGTGATGCAAGGCTGGATTTGTTTCTTCCAAAAAATCAAACTAAAACAGGCATTTCAGCAAAACGTGTTTGCTGCCTTGATTTTGGCTGACTTCCATTACATTTTTAACCGAGGGCTGACATGCGGCTGGGCAAAAAGTGACTAAATCTTCTCAAATATAATGTTCCACTATTGAGAAGGGCAGCTGACGGGCACAAAATCAAGTTTCACTTGATCTGTCTGATGACTTTCGATTTCCCTTCACTTTAATTTTTAAGAAAGTAGTCGACGTTCTTAGAAACTCACCATGAAAGGAAAACAATGAGCCACAGCTTGCTCGCTAGCCCAAACATCTTACTTAAACGCATTAAACGCTCTCTGGCGCTCTGCAACACCCAGCCGCCAAAGTCCCCTATCCTCCCAAAGCCCTTCAGGGAGTTGGCACTCCCTCATTTCCTCTAAAGGCCCCTTTACCCTTTCAATGGGCTTCTCCTTCGTCTCCTCCCAGGAGAAACCCAATCAAGCATCCTCTTCGGCAGCCTCTCTTCCGTCATCCTATTCACATGATCAGGCCCGCCACATCCCATCTCGGGACCTGGTACCAATTTTCTGGCCCGGGCCCCTAGCACGGGGGGGGGGGGGGG